AAAAAAAACTAGGGGCTCAAAGTCGGTCGACCACACTTCATATAATAGTAGTATATCATTTTACATATGTAACCGGTTTCGGCGCTACGGCCATCATCAGACAAATAATAAGTACCTAAAAGTTTAAAAAACGAAGACAATCAAATGTGAGTGAAGACTATAAAATCAACATACCGAACAATACAATTTAGACAAACATCATTGGATGAGTAACAATCATGCCATGGGTTGAGACATGGGCAATAAGTTGATTGATTTAAATCTAATGAAGAGCCAGAAAAAACTGGCTCTGATAAGGTCAAACATCATAAGATATCGGAGAGAGAAAAACTACATCATATTAAAAAATGAAAATAAAAATGTCACCACGACCGGCGGCCATAACAATTCGATCAGTCCTATAAGGAACAAGATACATTATAAGTAATTGAAATTTGACACATTGACGGATGAACGCAAAACAATAAAATTAAGTGACAACTAATGTCTCCACAATAGAACAATGGTACCACGAGAAAAAAAGAACTAATAAGAAGAGCTAGCGGGAAAAAGAAGAAGAAGAAGAGAGGAGAAGAGTGGTGAAGGAGAACAAGAAAGAAAAGAAGAATAAGAAGATTGAGAGGAAAATAAAATGAGAAGAGAAATAATTATAAACTGAAACTCAGTGGCGTCAGAGGCGGCGCATAGACTTTGGAATAACGGGTAGGGGGAGGGATTATGTCAATTTTAAGGTCCTAAAAATATGACTACGTTCGAAGTTAGTTTGATCATTAAGACAAGAAACGTCTTGGTTGTTGATGCATTTCTGAATTTCTGAATTTTTTTTTTTTTGAAGATATGGTTTTTACAGAGATGTTTGCGCTTTAATGTGTATCCAAGATCTATATCGTTGCACACCAATGTTAGTTCTAGGACTTCATTCAACACTATCTCAGCTGCCAGGAGAATTTGGACACAACAAGAGATCAAGCGTCACTATAACAACCTCAATCTTGTCAATATCAAACTGAAATTTATTTTTTTCCTTTTGAATTCCAGAATTAGTCATTTAGAGTTTACTGTAATTGATAGGGATATTCGTGACTGGGTTGAAGATTCAGGTAATATTTTATTTCATAATCTCTCTAACAAATTGAACTTACTAAAATCTCGCAATAGAACATTAGGTACTAACAATCCTCCTCCTCACTTCTCTAACCATCATTTCCACCCTAGATTCTTGAACCTTAGTACTTCCAATTTTACTACAAATGAAGAGAAATTGTTATCGTCTGGACTCAATTTTAACTTATCTAGCTCTTTCTCACAACATAACATTGAAACTTTGGCTGTTGATGTAGAGCAAATAATTTCCTCCCCTCTTGTCATTAATAAACCCCTTTTGAGAGCACAAGCTGCCACAGTCCTTAATTCTATTAGGAACAATCCAATTTATACTCAACCTTCTAATCCTTATTTTCACATTATCCGTTCCATTAAACGTAATATCAGCAACAATGATTTGGTCATTTCGAAAGCTGACAAAGGCAACTGCATTGTAGCTTTAGATAGAACAGATTATATTTCAAAAGTTGAAAATTTCCTTAGTTCAGATTCTTTCCAAGTTATTAGTTTAGATCCTACCAAGCCTTATTTCACAAAATTAAAAAAAGTATTGAAAATTTGTTCAACAACATTAGAAACTTATGGCAAATCTATTTTTCAACTATACCCCATGTGCCCAGTTACACCCATGTTATATGGACTTCCAAAAATCCACAAGCCTAACATTCCTATCAGACCAGTGGTTTCTTTCATTAACTCCCCTTGTTGCAAACTTGCTTCTTTTCTCAATCAGTTGTTGAGAGATTTAACTGCTTTTGACAATTGTTATTCAATTAAAAACTCAGTGGATTTAGCAAATAAGATAAAAAATGTTCACATTCCCTCATCTTCTGTCTTAGTATCCTTTGATGTCACGAATTTATTCCCTAGCATTCCTCCTGATGATTGCATTTGTCTGGTCAGAAATTTACTTTTGAATAACAATATCTTATTGCACCAAATTTTTGATATTTGTGATTTACTAGCCATGGTTCTTAACCAAAACTTTTTTCAATTTAATAATAGATTCTACCGCCAAACCACTGGGCTTGCCATGGGCAGTAATTTATCACCTCTACTAGCAGAAATTTTCATGAATAATTTTGAAAAACAGTTTTTGAATAACCCAATGTTCAATTCTAAACTTGTGTTTTACTATAGGTATGTGGATGATTGTTTGCTTTTGTTTGATGGTGCTCTTCCAGATGTTCTTGCTTTCTTAGATCACATCAATTCCCTACACCCGAATATTAAGTTCACCATAGAGGTTGAATCCAATAATTCTTTACCATTTCTTGATTTATTTATTTCAAAAAATATTTCTACCTCTAGATTCGAGTTTGAAGTCTACAGGAAACCAACTGCCACAGATTCTATAATTCCCTTTGATTCTAATCACCCATATTCTCATAAGTACGCAGCCTTCAATAGTTTTTTCCATAGGGCTTTCTCATTACCTCTCTCAGATTTTGCTTTCTCTAAGGAGATTAACATTATCAAACAAATAGCTGTTAATAACAATTATCCTTTAGAACAAGTCATGTCCATTTATTTCAAATTCTACACCAAATTTAAATTATCCTTTAATATCATTTCTAGTCAACCCCCCATACCTCCTGTTTTCAGATCTATTAATTATTTTGGGCCTTACACTTACAAAATTGCCAAATTGTTCAATAATTTTAATATTAGTATTTCTTATAAAACAACTTTTAATCTCAAACATATTTTTGTTAACTCCAAGGACAGGATTCCCCGAAACAAAAAATCAGGTGTTTATAAATTAAATTGCAACGATTGCAATGCTGCTTACATAGGTCAAACAGGTAGAAGCTTTGACACTCGTTTTTCTGAACATAAAAGATACATTAACAAATTTTTGATAGACCCTAATGCTTCATCTTCTTTTGCCAATCACATTATTGACTCTAACCATTCTTTTGATGTTAGTATTAATTCAGATATTCTTCACATTTGTGACAAAGGTACTAGGTTAAACCTGCTTGAAATCATGGAAATTCAGAAATGCATCAACAACCAAGACGTTTCTTGTCTTAATGATCAAACTAACTTCGAACGTAGTCATATTTTTAGGACCTTAAAATTGACATAATCCCTCCCCCTACCCGTTATTCCAAAGTCTATGCGCCGCCTCTGACGCCACTGAGTTTCAGTTTATAATTATTTCTCTTCTCATTTTATTTTCCTCTCAATCTTCTTATTCTTCTTTTCTTTCTTGTTCTCCTTCACCACTCTTCTCCTCTCTTCTTCTTCTTCTTTTTTCCCGCTAGCTCTTCTTATTAGTTCTTTTTTTTCTCGTGGTACCATTGTTCTATTGTGGAGACATTAGTTGTCACTTAATTTTATTGTTTTGCGTTCATCCGTCAATGTGTCAAATTTCAATTACTTATAATGTATCTTGTTCCTTATAGGACTGATCGAATTGTTATGGCCGCCGGTCGTGGTGACATTTTTATTTTCATTTTTTAATATGATGTAGTTTTTCTCTCTCCGATATCTTATGATGTTTGACCTTATCAGAGCCAGTTTTTTCTGGCTCTTCATTAGATTTAAATCAATCAACTTATTGCCCATGTCTCAACCCATGGCATGATTGTTACTCATCCAATGATGTTTGTCTAAATTGTATTGTTCGGTATGTTGATTTTATAGTCTTCACTCACATTTGATTGTCTTCGTTTTTTAAACTTTTAGGTACTTATTATTTGTCTGATGATGGCCGTAGCGCCGAAACCGGTTACATATGTAAAATGATATACTACTATTATATGAAGTGTGGTCGACCGACTTTGAGCCCCTAGTTTTTTTTTTTTTTTTTTTTTCTTCTTGAAAATACTGTGGACCACTTTGAGAAAATGGATGATTTTCATGATTTATTCACCATTTGGTTGTGTGAGTCTCCTCATGGAACACCCTGTATACATTTGCCTCGCGCTCAGGCAGGGTAAACCAGGTCACGCGCGTCGCTGAGTGATATGTGCCCGCGCCAGTTCCCACACCACCTCGATGATTATTTCTAGTACCCTATCTCCAGACTCTATTTTTTGTATACTCGAATAGGTTCCATAATATTTTTCGGATTCAATAGGAAACATACATGTAATTATTTGAAATAATGTCCCGCCATTTTGTTTTCAAGTTTTGAGGAACATAATCGAAAATTTCAGCAACAGCAGATTTGTGATCAGCCCTCTCGAAATCTTTAGGAAAGTGTGTTAATCAGCTTTTTCCCGAAAATGCCTACAACACTTTCTACGAGAAATATGGAATGGCACTGATCTTTAACTCAATTTCTTAGTTTTGCACAAATTAATTCCACTTAAGTTAGGTTTGAAGGTAAAAATTCATTTTATCACAAGAAATTCGAAGTTCTATTCAGTATCGATTAAATTTGCTACCGTTATATCATTAGGTTTAATGAAATAAAATTGAACGACTTCATTTGAATGAGATAATAAAAACTAAGTCGAAAGTAGCTCAATCTTTCAGTCTTTAATAATTTCATTCAACTTTTACTAGAAAATAATCAACTCAAATGTCATTTCACTCTATAAACGCCAAAAAAATTTCAGCGTTATTTTATGCTCTTTACCTCAAGAAGGAGCAAAACATTTCTGAAAATTTGTTCAGTTTCGATGGTAACGAGACAAAATACAGGCTTCCAATTGGTACAGAATGTGAAGTGTGGAATTTTCATTTAAACACACTTAGGTTTTCATCAGTACCAAAAATGTTATCTTTGATAGAAAATTCTGATATATGGGAAAATGATTATTTCTTTGGTGATTGCGAATATAGTGAGTTATATTTCACGATGGGTAAGCATGTTGATAAGAAATATAGAAACTATTTAATGACCACCTATGTAGCAGAGGAATACAACAGTAAAAATATATTTTGCGCAACATCATTTAACATTATCCAAGTGAAACTAGATTTCTTTAGATGCAATATAAAAGATTACAATAACTCCATGTTTGTCATTTTGTCTATAAGGTGCCCTAGAAACAGTGAGCAGTCATTATGTATGTGAATCAGGTTTTTCTTATGTTAGTAGTGAAATGTATTTATAAGCATGTTTTATTTCTACTGGGTGAGTCAGGAGGATGACAATTTTTGCCTATGGAATTTGTGATAGAAAAACTAAATGAGAGTGGGAAATTCACGAGCTATATATTTTTATGAAAATGTTGAACAAGTTCCTCATATTCAGTGAGCGCCCCTGATTTCCGCGGTTATTTTGATAAGAAATATCTGATTTGGTAAGTTAATTCAGTATTATTGAAATTAACAGAATGCGCCGTTCAAAAATATGGAATCCGTCTTCAAAGTTTTTGTGTTAGTCCTACACTGTGACCAAGATGAGGTTGCACAGCTTGGTGATCTCCGAAATGGTAAGAGATACGAATTTGATGAAATAATGAAATAGGAAAAATTGCACATTCAGGATGTCTTCTCGACATCCTCATAAAATTTCCGGAATTATTTATAGTTCTCCAGTCTCATCGAAAAGAGTTAATTTTTGGAAAATCATATTTCAACGTTTTTATAGGAGATACGAAAAAACTGAAAATACTTTTATATAGGAACTCTCGGTGAGAATCAAAGTGATCAAATTGTTCTCACTATATGCGAGGTTTGTCATTCATGGAACCATCGTTAACCAATTTTTTTCCATTCGGTCCTGACCATGTGTACAGATTTCGATGGCTTTCAACATTCTGAATACAACCATGTATCATACAAAATAGTTCAAATGTCTTTCGACCTATTAAGTTTTTATCATCAACAATGTTCTTTCGAATTTTCAATGAAAAAGTATCATCAGTTTCACTCATTTCTGATAATTAAGTATCAAATATTGATGGACTTGTTAGTTAATTTTGGAGAGTTGAACGAATATATTCCACTTAATGATTCAACAGAACCCTTCGAATTGTTTTTGACTTGTTGATGAATTCTCACCTGAATAACCTCAATAACTGAACTTTGATAACATGAACGGCATTTGAAAAGAATAATATACTTAAGAGGAGGATACACCATGCATCAGTGCAATGAAAACATGATTTCTCCGCCCCCACTTTTCATTGTTCAATATTGATTTTTTCGGAAAACAAAAAATATGGTGAGATGAAGAATTGAAATATCTAGGTTTCTCTGGAAGCAGAATTTTGAAAAAATTCACCGATATTCTGCAAAAAAATCATGAACATTGCATTTTTCGAGTATATTCAGAATTTTTTTTTGGAAAAACTAAGACAAAAACTCAAAATCCGCTTCCAGAGAAACATCCGTTCATCCTTTGTGAAGAGCCCAGTATTTTTTGTTTCAGGAAAAAAAATTTTTTAGAGGGGGAAAAGTGGGGGCGCGCGATCCCATGTTTTCCAACATTTCGACACTGATTCCTAGCGTCCTCACCGGAGAATGCTGAAAACTGTGTTTCAATATTGGAATACAAGCTTATTTTGCGTTTTTGAGATTTTACCAGAGGGATTCAAAAAGTAGGGCACATTCGCACATTTACGTTTGTACTTCAGCTATCTATATCATTTTTCATCATTTCTGTTTCTTCATCCTATTCCTTGAGAGCTTTTCTACTGTCCACAATATCCATACATTATTTTATATTATCGAATGGGAATTATAAGATAATTTTAGCATTCCAGTAAGGAAGTATAGCACGATGTCCGTGAATCCTCCTCTCCGAAATGATAATTAAAAACATCAGATGATGTCATACCTAGGTGCGGTGTGAGGTGAAACGTTTGTCGGCAAAAGGGGAACCGGCGAAAAGCCGCATTTCGGACCATATAAAGATTTTTTTTGAAGCGGGGAATTTCACATAAGTATAGACTTTCAAGGGTAGAGAAGATATTTTGTATTATATCACAGTAGAAAATATCGCCTATAATGGTATTCGTGAAATAAACTTTTTAACCAATTGCGGTAGCGGTAGACTTCGCGAGTGTTTCGAGTGTTTACTTCGAAGTTCAGGTTTTTATGATGCATGGGAAGGATAAATACGAATTGATATATGTAAATATATAATTATATACAGCATGTCTCACTTCAAATGCCCCCCTCCCTCTATATCTTAGCTATTAATAGCTATCAATCGTGCGATTCTTACCAAATTTGGACTAGTATGAATTACCATTGATATGATCAGTTTTTAGGAAAAGAAACATCATTATGGATAGTGCCGTGCGTTTTTATTGAAATTGAAATGGGTTTCATGAATCAGGATTTCTTGTAGGAAAACTAACTTTACAGTACTCATGTTTTCGAACCTCCATGTGCAAAAATTCAATACTTTCAAAATTCTATAGAATGGGTCAAATTTCTCTCTTCATTATCAGCCCCGAATAAATAATGAATTCTAATTAACCGCAAATTCTGGAACGTTCAATAGCTCCAGTAAGTAGAAAATTATGGTTTACATAAAAAGAACAAGGAATAGTTTTTTGTTGAACTCATCATTTCCGAATGCATAATTTTTCCTACTCCCATTTTATAAAAAGCGAATTAATTATCGACCTAATAAAACGATTTATTTCATATTCACAATTGGAGAATTATCAAAACTTTTGCACAATGATGAGTGATTAATTATATATATTCCAGTGAAAAATTTCATGAAGATTTTCAATCGTAATTTTTCCTACGAGTCAATCAATTTTGGAATCAATCAATCAGGAATCAGTGTGATGATTTCCATTTTCCTTCAAGATAAATGAAAGAGATCATATTGTCAAATGTGTTGATATCATAATATACACAGTGAATAGTTGACATTATAGTGGGATATTCTTCGATTAATAGTTAATCTTTTATAAAATATCTACAGTGTGACCCACTTCTAATGGAAACACCCCTGTATCTTTCGTAATCGTTGGGTGGGGATCCTGAAATTTGTTGGAGCGAGAGATATACCAAAAATGCACTCTATGATCAAGTGGGGTCATCTTCAGTGATATACACTGCTCGCCAACAGCCATGGAAACACCCCAATTTCCGGAAAATGATATTAGGAGTCAAAATAAGTCGAGAATCACTTCAGATTCGGAATCGGCACGCCCAATTCATTACCGGTATCATATTTTTCCTGAAAAATTTTCAGTTCTGAAAAATTAAATTTTGTCGCACTTTTCACGGAACCACCCCCGTATCTTACGTAATTGACTTCATCTTCGGACTTTCCCATCCTCCTGAAAATTTCAGAACCCTACCTCAATAATTACGTGAGATACGGGGGTGCTTCCATGAGAAGTTAGACAAAATTTAATTTTTCTGAACAGAAAATTTTCAAGGGAAACTATAAATAGTTAATGAATTGGGCGTCGTGATTCCGAATCCGAAGTGATTTTCAACCTATTTTGACTCCTAATAACATTTTCTGGAAATTGGGATGGTTCCATGGCTATTGGCGAGCAGTGTATATCACTGAAGATGATCCCACTCGGTCATAGCGTGCATTTTTGGTATATCTCTCACTCCCTCCAAATTTCAGGATCCTTACCCAACGATTACGTAATATACAGGGGTGTTTCCATTAGGAGTGGGTCACACTGTACATACAGGGTGGCCCACGAGGTTTTGGCCAGTCGATATCTCGGAAACTATTTGAACTATAATTTTGAAATTTGGTGGTTTTAAACAGTGCAATGTGGTGTTCATTTTTGATATAAGAGGGTTTTATTGCAACATCGCATTTCCGATCATGTGACATCAACTTCAAAATTTCAAATGGAACACCTTGTATATTATTGCATTTTCGTCCTTTCTAATACAAATTCTACGATACCATAATTGTCAGCGGTTTTTCGGCACTACAGTCAAGATAAAGAGGTTCTTATGAACATTTCTGTATTTTTTTTTTAAATGTGATAGCTTAGGAAGAGAAAAAGTATCCTAGCAACAGAAATACATCGCACTTGTCAAGGGCTGTCAATCAGTATCAGTAGATTGGCTTTGTGTACAAGTAGTATCAAGACTAGTATGCCTTTACATTTTTCTTACGACGAGTATGTCAATATGCTGCTCATATATGGCGAGTGTCGAAAAAATAGTAGGCGTGCTCGAGACTTGTACAGAGAACGTTTTCCCGACCGAACAACTCCAAGTAAAAATACTTTCGCTTATGTGGAACAGAAATTAAGAAATGGTTCTTTTCCTAGTGGGAAACAGCAAATTCCACGCAGAGGATAACGTAATTAATATTCAGGCTTATGTTCAAGTACACCCACATATCTCAACTAGATGTCTTGGGCAAGAATGTGGAGTAAGTAGAACTACAATCCAGAGAGTATTGAAGAATCGTAATTATCATCCTTACAAAATACATTTAACACAAGGTTTGAACCCTGCAGACCCTGAAAGAAGACTAATTTTTATAGCTGAAATGACAGTGAAACTCGCATATGACCAATTATTTTCAAATAAAATATTGTGGACTGATGAAAGTCGATTTCACAACAACGGTACTGTAAATCGACACAATTGTCACTACTGGTCGGCTGAAAATCCGAAATGGATGCGAGAAACTAATTTTCAGACAATATGGGGTGTAAATGTTTGGTGCGGTTTATTCAACGTCCGCTTGATTGGGCCGTATTTGTATCAAGGAACTCTGACCGGCGAAAGGTATTTAGATATTCTCCAGAATATGTTTCCCGTTTTACTTGGAAGATATTCCCTTGAACGAAAGAGACGATGTGGTGGCAGCAGAATCACAGATTAACATAGTTAATCTGTGGCAGAATGGTGCACCTCCCCACTATGCCCGGCAAGTTACGACATATCTTGATAATACTTTCCGTGAAAAATGGATTGGGCGAAATGGTACAATAAATTGGCCGGCTCGTTCCCCAGATATGACACCTTTGATTTGCCAAATAAAATCAGAGCAGCGTGCCAAACTGTTACACCTGAAATGATTAGAGCAGCATGCACTAGAAATCTTTCAACAAGATTTGAGCATTGCGTTACTGAAGATGGACATCAATTTGAGCATCAACTGAAT